TAAATAAAATATCAAAATATATAAAATCATTAAAATAATACAGACTGAAATTCTTCAGAATATTCAAACCAGATATCTCATGTTGAACTTTATAATAAACCTGAAAATAATCATCTGATAATTTTCACAAGATCATAAATAATCGGATCAGATAAAATAATCAGTTTATAATTCTTTATAGTCAGACACTTTTCAGAACTTTCTTATTTCATTTTTATAGCCCAAAGTATATTTTAAGAGAATATAAGATACGTGAGTCAGACGAGTGTGCGCAATACAGATATCAGATCATCAGTCGGAACAGATAAGCACACATAGTGCTATCACATCGGAAATAACAATATGCACACCAAGTGCATTCAGATCAGAATATATATATACTAGTGTACACTCCGGTACACCACAGTATATCAAAATCAGAACAGATAATCACTCCACCTCATGGCATGCCAATTGTGCCTTTGACTCTCAATATAACATACAGTGGGCTTTTAGTTCATTTCTTAACCATTTGATAAACATCATATCAGAGTCGAAAATATATTCAATTCACATTCTTAAAACTTTCATAAAACTTATTAAAGAAATTATGGATATAATTTCATAAACAAAACATAATTCATATCTTTGAAATAAATAAGGTGAGGTTGACTTATCGCAAGTCGTCCTCGATCAAAATAATTAAATAAATAAATTGCACTCACCTTTGCCTCACTTAAGAACTTGTATACGATAATACTAGTCACAAGCTTTGTCCTTTCCTTTCAGATTGTTCGGATTGTTAGTTTTATTGAAATCTGACAATACGAAATTATAACACAAAATGTTTAAACTACATATTAGTATCGTTTTAACATAAGCTCATTTTTGACATTTGAGAATCTATAAAATAAAATCGATAACTAAATCGATATCAACCTAAATCATAACTCCATTATAACGTCAAACCACATATTTTTGAATTCTTTCTAAAATTCAACTCAACTTTTCCTTTAATTCATAATGGTCCTTCGCCATTATGATAATTTTACATTAATTACTAAAATTCCAGAACTTGAATAAAATACCCAAATAATACTTCTTCATTTAAGAACTTGTAAACAAGTCCCCAAAGTTCTGGAACCTTTCGAATTCCACCATCTAACCATTAGAATGAATTCTTTTAGAATTATTCTCAACATTTCCGATTTATCCAAAATGGTCTCTTGCCATTTAAATTCAATTCCAAGCATCCAAAAATATATTCAACATTTAAACATTATTCTTCATCTTCTAATCCATTTCAACTTAAATTCTACAAATTTCCATATTCAGACAACTTGTGCTATCTTTAAAGAATAAATATTCTGTATTAATGTACACACTGGAATTTGATTCCGTTTCTTCCATTGAAATCTAGACTCGAATACGAATCTATCTATATAAAGAACTCCTTCTAATTCAATCTTTATAATTTATGGTGAATTTTTAAAGTTGACTGACAGAATCTGTTTTATGCAGAATCTACTGCCCGTTTTTATGACCTTTCCTCGGTTAAAAATTCATATATTTTTTTGTACAACTTGAAACTGATCCCAGTTTTTTTTAAACGAAACTAGATTGATATACGAAAACAATATATAAAAATCACCTTCTAATAATTTTTATAGAATTTATGGTGAATTTTCAAACTCACTGCCAAATTCAAAATCTAAACTGTTTTCATTAACTTCATCCTTAAATTCTTCATCAATCCTTACAACCAATTCTTTAAAATCACTTAACTCTTCATAACCCCAAAAGTGTCTGCTGAAACTAAGCCAAACCTCAGCTTCTTCAAAATTTATCAAAATAAAACAAATCAATTTTATCGTTCTCACCCACCAAATTCATAGCTGAATCACTAAACTAGTCTCTCTAATATTTTTTTCCACTTTCATGCTTAATCATGCTTCCATTACACTCCTAGAACCAAAATCCCAATCTTATATCTTTGAATTCTCGTTTCCCGTTCAACCTCCAAAATCACAACTTTCATAAATCAACATGAAACAAAGAAATAATTATACCATCTTGTAGAGAAAATAGTGTAGGTAAATTTCTTATTTCACACTTTAGCCCAAAATCCTAATAAATTGAACCAAAAATGGAAAAAAAATATAAAATACACTTACCTTGCTATGAAGACCCGACAGCAGGTGAATAGGGGGAAGAGTTCATGAAATTTCTTGAGAAAATATCTCCCCCTTATCTTTAATATATGATTAGAAAAATGAATTTTATATTCATTTTGGGCCAAAAACCTAAAATACCATTAATGAATTCTTAAAATTACATCCATGCCACTCAATGACATCATCCCTTACCTCATTATATCCAGAAAAATATCTAAATTCTGATTTTTCATGTTTGTCTTTGTAATTTTTGAAAATTCCAATTTAGTCACCCAATTCCAAATTTTTGGCTTAACACGGAAAATCGACCTTAATTCCATTGATCCATGTTAAATTTCACTTTTCTAAAATATATAAATAATATTTCCAACCTTTATCTAGCATCCTTAATATTTTTGTGAAATTTTGATTCGATCTGATTATCCGATTTCAATACCGAACTTTACCGCTTTATAGCCTTTAACACAAATCTCGTACCGAAAATATGATTTCCACTAAAATCCTTGTTTTCAGCCAAACTGTTCATTTATGGCTAAAATATATAACTTTTAAAAATTACAAATTTCAGTCCCTACACTTTTCAAAGTTTATACTTTAGCCACTAAACTTTCAAAACTTACATTTTAGTCACTGGTCAAATTTTTGGGGTATTACAGTATTGCATTTATTTCTTAAGAATTTTCTCTAAAAATATAGTATTCGCGCGGACGTGTCGAAGACACGTATTACCACGACCACGACCACGACCCGAGACGAGATGGACGGCGGCGGCGGCGACGCACGAGTCCCCCTTGTTCTCTATCACTCAATAAGGAAGTGGGAAAGCCAAGCCTTAAATATCATTCCCAATAGTGTTTCCAATACTATGTGGGATTGAGCATTACCAACACTTGTTTCCAATACTATGTGATTATTCAGGAAACAATTAACAATCATGCACCTTAAAACAATTAAATCAGCAACCAATTGCATTAGTATTATACGATTAAATATGTCATAATTAAAAGTCAATCTACAATCAATCGTGATTATTACAATTTTAAGCAAAACATTCAAAAAAATTACATCACTCGCGAGAATAAAAAAAATCATTATCGTGCAATTACAATCAATTGAAAATAAATTAGAATTGCATGTAAACTAAACGAACCACAAATACTTTTCATACAAATACTAAAGTCATTAACTATAATTCACAAATAATATCACTATTTAAGGCTCAATCCCACATAGTATTGGGAACAAGTGTTGGTAATGCTCAATCCCACATAGTATTGGAAACACTATTGGGAATGATATTTTAGGCTTGGCTTTCCCACTTCCTTGTTGAGTGATAGAGAACAAGGGGGACTCTCGCGCGCCGCCGCTGCCGTCCGTCTCGTCTCAGGTCGTGGTCGTGGTCGTGGTCGTACGTGTCTTCGACACGTCCGCACGAATACTATTTTTTTAGAGAAAATTCTTAAGAAACAAATGCAATACCACCAGTCGTTGCGATTTTGAACTATCGCAACGAACTTTGAATAAATCGCAACACGAACTTCGACTAACGCAACGAACTTGGAATAAATCGCAATGCGAACTTCGACTATCGCAACGAACTTGGAATAAATCGCAATGTGAACTTCGACTATCGCAACGAACTTGGAATAAATCGCAACGCGAACTTCGACTATCGCAACGAACTTGGAATAAATCGCAACGCAAACTTCAACTATCGCAACGAACTTGGAATAAATCGCAACGCGAACTTCGACTATCGCAACGAACTTGGACTATCGCAACGCGAATTTGGAATAAATCGCAACGCGAACTTGGACTATCGCAACGAATTTAGAAAATCGCATTGCGATAGTCGAAGTTCGCGTTGCGATAGTCGATGTTCGCGTTGCGAATTTGGAAACTGATTTGCGATACCGGAGATCGCGTTACGAATTATCGATCGTATTGCGATTTAGTTGGTCATTTTGGCAAATCCAAAAAAAGTTGGTTTAAATCGTATATTATATGACATTTTTTGTCACTGAGGTTATTTTCTCTTATTTTTAAAATATAAATTTTCTTAAAATATGATTATGACAGTCCTGATTATAAAAAATTACAAAATGATCTTCCGACTTAAAATGTTGCTTTGTTAAGTCTATCGACTATTAAAAGTTACAAAATGATCATCCGACTTTTCATTATGTTTTAAACTCGTCCTTTTTCGTTAAAAATTGATGGTTGTTTAAACTGAACGTTAGCATAATAACTGAGATATGATAGTCGTTTGAGATTTTGTGATTTAATTATATTATATCACAGTTAACATTTAACTTTAACTCATAACACTGTCAATTTATTTTTTAACGAAAAAAATAAATTTAAAACATAATGAATAATCAGATAACTATTTTTTAACTTTTAATAATAAAAAACTTAATAAATAACACTTCATAATTGGAAGATCATTTTATAACTTTTAATAATCAAGTGATTTCATAAAATAGTACCTATAACGGGGACCATTCATGTACTTTACTAAAAAATTAAATATGTATCAAATATAGATAATTCAACATATAGCCGAGCGTAAGTGATATTTAACACAGAAATAAAATAAAAACAATGGCAGAAGCAGACAATTTAAAAGGAAAATAAAAGCTACCATTTCCCATATATAAAGTTTAATAATCCAATTAATAGATGCCAAAATGTTGGAAAAGCTTTAAGGGGACAATGACCACTCGGATTCTCATTGTGACTTTACCAGTAATGTGATGACTAAAAATAAACTATGCTTCACATCCTAAAGTGATTAGGAAGCCTGCTATCATTTACAAAGCTTAATGGATACAACACCACTTCAACAACAACAAAAAAACACCTAAAGTGATGAATATCCATCCATTCAAAGACCCTTTTCTACTAACTATATATATATATATTATGTTATATAAAGGAACCATTGATGAATCTACTTGAAGATGGAAGTCTCTGATTTCTTCCATTTGGCGAGTCGTAATAGGAAAGCTAATACCTCGGACGGATCGCGGAGGGAGTACCAAGCTATGGTGTCTCTTGGAATGGAAGAAACTATTATTGGAAACCCTTCACGTCTACCTGCTATGACCTGCAAAAAATCACCAGTAAAAATATCAGTAAACAGTTGCATTCTAGTAAATTATGACACAAATATATGCAAAAATGTATTAGACCTTGAATGCATCTTCATCGGTTCGATCGTCTCCGATGTACAATGGGAGAACATCTTTGGCATTGCTGAATCCTAAAACATCAAGTAAATAATTCAGGGCGTCACCTTTGTTCCACTCTATCGACGGTCGCACTTCTAAAACCATTTTACCCTCGGTGAGACGAAATTCGAGGCGATTTTCAACTAGAGATTTCACCCTCTCCTTCAGAGTTTCACGGTCCTGGATGCATAAGGAAGCGAATCGGTTAAATTTGTGATGTTTTAAGAGATGAAAACTATGATATTTTAAAAGGTTTTACCTTTGGTTGAACTTGCCTATAATGCACAGAGATGCAGAACTTGTTATCCTCTAGCCTAGCACCTTGTATATCTCTAATTGTGTCTTCCAACTCTATTGATATCTGTCGTAATCAGATAGCTTATTAATGTAAATTGCATGCGGTAAAAGCTTTAAGAACAGCGAGTTGTTGAGCAAAATTACCTCTTGAATTGCAGGTAAATATAATTTTGCAGGTTGAAAGGCACCTTCATTCACCTTTTTATCCGCTCTGGGTGGCGCCAATATGTCCAGCCCATGGCTCCCGGCATAATACACATTGCTTAACTGTACAAATTCTTTAACCTTTTCTCGGCTCCTACCGCTGACTATAGATGTCGGAAAATACTTTGCAACTTCACGTACCGCCATACGCATCTGAAATCAAGAAGAATAAAAAAGGAGTTAAAATACCTCATAACTATGTATGGTGGGCATGTATCATGTATGAGCATGCAGAGCGATTTCAACTAAAGGGTACCTCGGCAGACATGAAGGCCTTGTCGGGGTCTTCAACGATGGGCGACAAAGTGCCGTCGTAGTCCAAAAACACGACAACCTTTTTCCACTTGGCTTCCTTCGTTATGGAATCGAATGCGTTCAATGCGGAAGGGTGTTGAATCTGGACAAGATCATGCACGGCAATTATGAGTTTTAAGACATTTATGCATGCATGATGTTCATCTGAATGTCAACCATGTAGCATGGTAGAGGAATTTTACCAGCCATGAAGCATAGCCCGCATCATCAGGTGGGCTGATTAACGTCAAAGAGCCATCGGTTCCATCATCATCATTCACTGGACCATAGAAAGGCTTCACTTTCTTCTGATTGTTGGAATGTGATATTTTAAATCCCATTGCGTGCTTAATCTTTGCCAAGTTTCTCTTGATCATTCTATACATATATAATAAAGTTCGAGTCAAACGACCAAACAAACTTAAATGTTTTTAACTTCCAGAAGCCGGAGTCGGTGGTGTGCTATAACACATATACCTAACACCATTAAACTAAGCAATTTATTATGGGGTTTACACCCCCCCCCTCTTTCCCAGAACACGAGAATATGGATTCAACAAAGGTCACTGTCGGGTTGAAAAGAAAGTACATTAGGAACCATAAGAAAACAAAAGACAAAATGGTTTTATACATCGGACAGGTTCCGATTTGATGAGTCGACTCGTGCCCTGAAATCCAAAGGGTTTCGTCTAACAAGGGTTGCCATCAGCTGATTCAGACGATACCGACATCTTGTACTGCCATTACTAGTTCAAACAAAAAAGCAAGAAAGTTGAAAACAATCTTTAACTACCACCTTTGCCTTTATTCTAACTGAATTCCCTTGGGTTCGAACTCAAAAGAAACATTTAGACAGGGGGAGGGATTCACGACATAAAGAAGATAACATCGGGGCGGTGATAATTTGACAAGACAAGACTCGGTGAACATAGCATCTGATGGTCCTTTGATTGCAGCTGATAAGATGGTTACTTGATGATGATATATGGCAACAGTAATCGATATACTTATTCGGATAAACTACACTAATAGTCGCTGAAATTTTAGGACATTTTCACTCTGATCACCAAAATAAAAATGGCAGAATAACAAAATTATTCCTAACATTAGCACAAATAGTCATTAATATTTTATTTTAAAGCAAAATATACTCTAGTTAGATGAAAATAGATAATTGACTAACTGTCAATATTTTCTATTGACGTGATAGATCTACATTTGATGCAACATCAGTACAATAAAATTATATAATAATAGTTTAAAAGTAATTTTTTTATGATGTCGAATCACACATGAACATATCACGTTAATAAAAAATATTAATCGTTAATCAATTATCAATTTTCATCCTATCAAGAGGTATTTGGCTCAAAAATAAATCGTTAGGATAAAATACTCAAAAAAAAGATAACAAACAAAATAATTATTTGTACAAATATTGAGAATAAATTTGTTATTATACCAATTAAAAACTTGCAATTAAATCATTGCTATTGAAAACAAAATAAAAAAATTATAAATTAAAACCTTTGAATTTTTTTTATTAACTATCAAATTAATTTGAAATCAAAATATGTTAGTATTCTAATGAATAAAAACATTTTACCACGAGAGTTAACGACTGATCACTTTGTTGATTAAAAACTAAACTTATACGACACTAATTTTAATTAAAATAAAATCAATTTGCCACTAAAGTCAAAGACAAATAGGCCTGGAACTCAGCCAGCAGAAGCAGCCAAATCCGATTGTCAGAGTCGACGACCAACCAAAATAAACAAAGGGCTCCTCAACATGGCACGTCCCATAATACACGTGTATCCAATGCAGACATGAATTGACAATGTCTTTATTTATTGCTTTCTAAAAAGAATATCAAAGGTGACTTTTTGAACCCTAGTTAGGTGTGAACAAAGAAAAAGAAAAGAAACCCGGTTTTTATAATACTAAACCTATAGTGGTTTATTTTTACGTACAAAAGACAGGTTTTCACGTGTCGACGGGTTTAAGAGGATGATCGAAGAGCATCGGCAGATCAAGGTGTTAATGGCGGACACGTCAAGGTGTCCTGTGGGGAACAGACATGTTGCAAAAGGACGAAATGTCTGGTTCAAAGAAACTGTCCTGAAACTGAAGTTTGAACGATCATTTCATTAATTTATTATTAATCAATTGAGTAAAACCATAAAGGAGGAATACAAAATTAAGCTGCAAAGCGAAACAGTGCACGGTCAAGGTAATGACACCTCTCCTCACTTAACGACTCTCGTTTTATGTTTAATTATGTAATTCTATCACCTAATCGAAGGAGAAAGAAGAGAGAGGCAAAGCCAATTTTTAATTAAAAAGCACCTTTAAAAATTGTATTAACCCTTATATTTAGAAAATTAGCATTTGACCCTTTAACTTCTGAAAAAACTTTAATTTGATATTTCCAAAAGAAATAATATTCTAATTAAATTTATTTTTTAAAAATATTTTTAAAATTCTCATTAAATATGCTAAACATGCACTCACCGACCTACTAGCTAATTTCGTTATTGCCTCTAAGCAGGCATATCAAATCAATTGAATATTAATTTATTTGATATGAAAAATATAGTAAGATAATTGATATGAAATTTATGGTAGGTTTTAATGCACTTAACAAAAGCATTATCTTTAATTAATTTGTTTTTTTTAAATAATTTAAATACCGTACAAAAATAATCCCTTGATATTTTCTAATTCACGGTCAAAGTCAAATCAGGGTTCATCTACAAATAAGGACAAAGCAAGGCAACTTCACTATCAAAACATACCACTAACCGTTTTTCAGGTACAAGTCGTTTCTTTGAAAAGCGCCCTTTGTGGGCCGTATAGCTTTACTTTACCCTTAGGAACTAGTCGGTGGAACCTACAATCTAGACCCTACACGCGGCGGATCCTACGGTCAAGACAACGGTTGAGATCTACGGCCCCACAAGAGACACGCGTACGGATCTCGGAAGGTGAATTATATGAGTTTGTTTTTTCTGGTAACGAAAAACATGGGGCAGTCAACTACACGGCGCGTGAGAAGCAAACGTCTGTAGGAACGGCGGGGATTAGACGCGCGATTAACTTGCGTGCGCGCGTCGCATGGGGAATACTTGAGGCGTGTTTGAATCAAATTAACGAATGAAGCGACATTGTTATTTGCAATATACGCAGAAAAATAAATAAAAGTAAAAAACGAAGGAAAATGCGTACCGTAATACAAGCGATTTTCTCGAGAAAATCGAATCGACGAAGCAGGAAAAAGAGCAGAGGACCGAAAGTATAATTTTCTCCTTTTTTTTTCAAGTTACGGAGAGAGCAAAGGAAATCGAAGAAACAGAGGTGGAAGAAAGGCAAGTGAAGGGCTTAATTTATAGAGTGTGGAGGAAGGGGGTTTCAGAGGGGAAACTTCGTTTTATTAAAAATATATTATTTCCTTTCTTTTTATTTAAAACTTCCTAGAATTTTACCATAATTTGATGCCTTCTGAGATCGCTTCGGTATCACCAAATATTTCTTTCTTTTTTCGTCTTCCTTTTCTTGTTAATTTCACTCTCGGTTGCTCTACTTTTCGGATTATTTAAATCTAGTCCCTTTTACTTTTATTTTCATGAATTTAATTTGAAAACCAGAGTTGCAAGGGTTCATGTTAAATTTAATTGGATATATGTATTCTTGCGTGTAATTACATGAACATGAATAATTATTATAATCGATAAATATTATTAGATTAAATACATATAGCTAGAATCCATCAATTATTTTCTTCAATTATTATAGCCGAACAAGTGGGAATGATTATAAATGATGTTGTGAAAGATTCATCGTATCAATTAATATTAATTACGAGTACGATCAAGTTGTGATTTTTCATTGATTTATCTGGATATTATATAAATTTAAAAAATATATTTTAACATTATTTATTATATTTTTTTAGAAGAAATTATCAATTGTTTTTCAAATTAAATTTATGCCCGATTAGCACTTACACCGTCTTAATCACATATTTAATATATTTGTTACCACTGTAATTTCTCCTGAATTTCATCGAAATTCCTACTGAATTATTTCAAAGATCGTAGGACTTAAAAGGATAATATATTATTGATAGTCATTGTATCGACGTAAATGACTGTAAATTAGTATTCTACAAAGAACTACGAAATTTTAATCCCGCTGATTTAGGGGAATAATTACATAAATAATACAATAATAATACACCAACCACAATAGGATAGTAAAATATTATCTTATAACTATAATATTATACTAATACATAATACGTACGCAGACGATTCACAGGAAAACCTACTACAATCGATAAATTTTTAGTTTAAGAGATTACACTTTGTATAATTAAAAATTAAAATATTTTGTTAATTAAGTTGTTTTGATAACAAAGACAAATGTGACGATAATCACGTGGTGTCTTTTTCATATTATGTGATTGAATTATAAATTTTATTAACATTCAAGTGTTTATATTTTTTTCATGTTGATTCATAATTGATATCGCATTAACTTGGTTATTTTATTCATGTTAATCGTGTCATATTTAAATTTAATAAATATTCATTATTTATTATTCCGATAAAATGATATACTTATTAGATTATTTAAAATATATATAAAAATTGAATATTGTTTGTTGATTTTTTTTAATATTGATGTTTTAAATAGAATAAATTGGATTGATAAGATGATCTTTGTAACAAATTTGTATTTAAATTAATCGATTAATGGATGAAATTTAATTTTTGAAATTGTTAATTTCAAACTGGATTTCATCTAAAAATTAATGGAATTTACCCATGAAACTTCCTTGGATGTATTTTGAAAGAGAAAACTCATGGTCTTGGCTCTCAATTAATATGGCAAGAAGATTGGTCTTTAGACTCTGCGTTCAACTGTCGGCTAGTCTTCTGCATTCCTTGTCAACATCGACATAAATTCTAGGATAAACTATATATTTAATACTTAAACTATCTCTTTTAATTCGTCTTAATACATAACTTTTAAAATCTTCAAAAATCATGTCTAACGTTTAATTTTTATTTCATTTTAGTACTCCGCTGTCAAAAACTTAACGTGTTTATTACCTAAATTATCGATTTTGACCCGTTCTAGCATCTAAACTTTCAATTTTTTTCAAAATTTAACGTTAAATTTTGATCGGATACTAAATAAAACAAAAACTAAACTTTATGTATCATTTTGAAAATTTGAAAATATAAACACTAAAACGGGCCAAAATTGATAATTAAGACCAATCTCGGACTCCACTGAGTAAACTACGAAATGATCAGTTAACAGATTAACTTGAAAGACATTAGATTTCAACTAAGCATAGAGATGTACACACGAAAAGTGTGTGGAAATGGGAACAAACAGGGCATTCGGTCCATGTATTCCACGAGTATGAATGAGTAAATAGTCACCTTGTTATATATGCACATTGGCCAGATTTCAAGCTTAAAAACTAAATTTCCAATGAATCTAAACATGCATATGCAGTACTACAAGGATTTCTAATCACGCGCTTGGGGCTCGGGACTGGGTCGATCTGCCTTGTCGTGGTGGAACCTCACCACGATGCATGTTATATTGTCGGCACTCCCTCGGGTGAATGCTGTCTCTATCAACTTTCTAGCCGCCGTCTCTGGTTCTTCTTCTACTCGAGCAAGCGAAACAGCATCCTGGAAACACGATGTTTTTAACTCATAACGTGCAAAATAGTAGGAAACTACTCGTAGCAAAACATCAAGCTCGTGTTCACTGGTTTCCTACCCGTTTCTATTTTTCATTCCTTATTCACCAGTTAAAATGTCCTGGATAACTAGTATGCTCACTCTTGGACGTTGCTCAACCACAACAACTTTAAGGAATGTAACGTTAAATCGGCAAAGCTCATCTTATGCAAGTTCCTTTCCTAACACAAAAGTTCAACACTCTCGAATAACTATTACTTTGATTCTTAGACACTCATCGATAGCAAAACACAATGCATGCCTGATACATGGATAAATTAAGTGCAACCATGCACAAGTTAGTGGAATTGTGAAAGGTTTACCTCATTAGGCACTACATCCCATAATCCATCACTAGCAAGCACAAGAAATTCAAACTCTTCATCTATCTCTTGGTCCTGAGAAATAAAATAAGAAATAAAATCTCCATTAATGCAAAACAACCTGTCAAGGATTTAATGGAATGAGATCATAAGGGAGAGTAAAGTTTGCAGGGTAAAACTGGTATGGTTTCTAATGAATGTCTATTCTGAATGGCTTTATTAGATCGGTTGCCAACTAAAGAAAGGCTCCTGAGCATGGAATAGTTGTGCAGCTGGATTGTAATTTTTACAACAATGGAGTTGACGAAAGGGATCATATCTTCTTTGTTTGTCCCTTTTCAAAGATCTGGGAGAAAATTCTTAGACTGCCATATTCAAAGAAGGGTTCTCAGCCGTATCAAGAAATTCAAACAAGGCTTAAAGGCTAATATCTTCTCACTTTTATATTGGAGCTAGCCTTGACTCTATGATTCAGTGTGAGAGAAACAGAAGGCTTTTCAGAAATGAACAGTGTAGAGAAACAAATTTTAGGTAGGATTAAAGAAATTGTTCAATTGGAAAATGTAAATAGTAGACTCTATTGACTGAAGGCTAGTAGATTTTGACAGAAACGTATAAAATATAGGTACAGAAGCCACTTGAATGATGTTTCTTTGTAGCAGATTTCTGCTTTTTCTTGGATAGGATAATACAAATCAATTATCCAAAAAAATCATTAACTCAATTTTCAAAACCTACGCTACTATCTTTTAAATCAATTCTATGAGAGTTGAGTTGAAATCAGATCACCATAAGTAATAGAAATCAAAGGATCAACTAAGATGGAGGAAGGGGTGGTAGAACTCTAGGAAAAGTGGGAGACAAAGTTATTCACCGCTATATTCAAATTAAGGAACAAAGAGCACATTAGCGCTCAATTCTAACATATCAGGTTTGACTTTTAGGATGTTTGTGGTCAATCGAGATAGAGGAAAATAAAAAGTAACAACTTTTTAAGATATTCTCATGAGATGATGTTTCCCCTACATGAGCTCTTAATTTTAAACACAAGGCAATATAATGGAAGAAAATATTTGCAAGATACTATAAAATGTAATAGTGATTAAAGATTATTAGTTCGTTAATATATAATTTTTAGGATCACCTGAATCTCTGGTTCGGCAACAACATATTGTTTTAACATTCGATTACCGAAAGCTCGAGACATAGCTAATACACCTCCTACCCTCCAAGTTCCTGATAACATGATCAAAAATAAAATTTACGATGAACTTTCAGGAGCCAGCTCTACCAATTTAATCACCAGGTATAATGGAAAATATTTGTCTTGACTTCAATAAGACAAGATGGATCTTTAAACAGTTTACCTGCCCACATAACAACCCCTCCAGCATTTTCAATTCTCTTCCGTTCATCACTTCTATTTGGTTTATGATCTTCAGAAAGTGGGATAACTTTATAAGGAAAAGAAACTGCTTTTAGGAATCTCAATTTGCAAATTAAGAATTCAAAACATTTATTTTCACGTCAAGTGTAGTTACTCTAACAAAGCCATAGGTTTCATATGTAAGATACACCAATCCCTAAAAAATGTATCGTACATTTCATATTATATATAGCTTACACTTATTAATGATTACTGACCATACTCGTAACAGTAACTAGGTTAAGATAAGTAGTAGACAACCCACAATCTCTAAATACAAAATATTGTGACATGCCCGTTCATTTATAATAAACAGAGGACAGAATAAAGAAAAACTCAAATGCTTTCAGAGTATGGTGCATGACTTTCTTCCCTTTACCGGCCCCTCAGAGCAAAGCAATTTGAAGGAGCTGTTCCTTGTGTAAAAGTGCTTAAAGGAAGAATATACTAGCGCATGTATTGATGCACTTGTAACTAACATATCAATAAGCACTAAAAAATGCATAGAATACCTTTTCCAGCCTTTGATATTATAGTCCGTGAGTCTCCAACATTGGCAACATATAGATGGTTACCAAGCAACACTGCAGTTGAAGCAGTTGAACCATCATCTCGATAAGTATCTCTTTCAGAATCCAAGAAATCTGCATCAGTCTGTTGATATGTTTCACCTGCAAGCATATCCATTGAAGCCAATATAAATTACAGAAAACTATCAAATGAGTTGATTATATTTACGTGGACACAAGACCATGAGAATGCAACCTACAGACTCAGAACAAAACAGAGATACAAGTACTTGTAATTGCATGGATCCTTCAAAAAATTGACAACAAATGACATGCAACAATTTATATGCTCCATAAACACAGCACATCAGATATCTTGAACGCACTTATTGCAAGTTTGGTGTCAGTCGTGAACTGTGGATGCTTCATTAGTTTCTCAAAAAGATGTTGCTTCAAATACTCAGCAGCACGAGAACCACCATGCCCTGCAATTGCAAATGATAGTGGTTAATTCACAGGTTAACAAAAGCTGTCATTCTCGGACATGAAAGGCATCTTACTCTCAAGAAATTTTACTTATCATCCAAGAACGCATTGGTAGGATGACTTATGATATAAATAGGTCAAAACTCAAATCTTACATCCGCAGGCACTTTTGAGATGCTAATTAAAAATAAGACAGATTGATTATCATAATCACATATTGGTTTGTACTCTGATTTAAATGAAATCACAAGAAAGCTTACAAGATATAATTTAGAAGTTTGACTGTCTTTGACCCAGGAAACATTGGACACTTATGCCACTAATTAGTTGTAAGCATGTCCCAACACACTACTACAAGGTTATTAAACTTTTTCAGATTATATGCACACAGATTTAAACCACAAACATATCATACCATCAACAAATTGTATGTTTTAGCATTTCTTTGCATTATCAGTCTTGTGGTAGTGAAAATCCAGATCCTGGGGAAAGACTAGCCCCAGATTGTAGACTAAGTACTTCTTCAATGATCATTTTGGACGGTGCCCACTAAGTGCTTTTAAATAATATGTTACATATAGTGTCTTTTATTTCACATCCTTCTACAAAGAAAGCATTGAAACGAGAGAAACTAACCATCAAAGATTCCAAACAAGCAGACTGTCTGCTCATTAATCTTGGAAGTTTTGATATCATAGCAATCTTCCATGGTTGCTCTCTTTCCCCTGAAGCTTGAATAACCGCAGCTTAGTTTTCCATCCTCACTACCATATCAGAGTAAGAAATGTACTATGAATTTAACAAATCAACAAATATAAGATACACATTATTGAATTCTTTAGATTGTATAAACAATCAGTGACTACCACTATCAGAACTAAATCTAGCTTTCCATCATTAGCTATTATGTTCACCAAACCAAACTTCAAACATGCAAAGTACAGATCAAAATCGATTCTGACAATAATTATTAATCACTATACAAGTACCTTCCTGGCAACAATTATCAAGAAACAAAATCATAAATTTCTAGCCGCCAACATGCATGTTTGATTCTAAACCAATCATGGCATTCATGAAAACTGCAAAAACAACTAATATATACCTTTTCCACCCTCCACTAACATATCCACCATCATCATTCTCAGGGAATTTATGGACAACAGGACCCTGGCTTGCCGCGGCACCTGAATCAACCATCATCTTAGTACTCGTTCGAAAGTCACGATTCCACGAAAAAGTTGATCCAACACCACCGGCATATAAAGTCCTTGCAGTACTTCGTAAATGCAGCCTTTTCCGGGTTAATATTGTCCCTAACTGCCTAGTTTGAATAATTACACTCTTTAAACAACTGTTGCATACCATCTAAACTGTTGTCCCACTTATGTCTTTCTACAGCCAGATCTTCAAAGCCACGCACAATGCTGCATACCAAAATCATTAAAAATATATAAAATCAACAAGATTTTCTAACTTCACAAAAATAACTATTCAACACAGTAACTAATTCTTAAACGGTCGTTAAATAAAAGAACAACGCAATTAACTCCAGTAACTCGCATAGACTAAATTAATCGCTTCCAACAAAGTCGAATCAGTACACGTTCAAGTCGAATATTCTAGTAGCACATGTATTTAATCAACAGCTTTTAATATCAATAAGAAGGAAAATCTAGCAATATTAAGCTGAGATTTTGAATTACGTAATCGAGAGGGGGGAGGGGGAATCAAAATCTCACAATCGGTTTTCGTTGTAATTAATTCATTTGCTGAGCTGATAAATAATCAAAAGTGCATCATTTCGCGATCAAATCTAAACGAAACTAAACAAAAAAAAGGGGATCTTTCTCGTCCAGAAATTTGGATTAAAAAAGGGATCGGATCGGTTCGAGGTTAGAACACGTAGAGGATCTGAATCTGAAGTGGAGACCAGTGGACATCGACCGCGTAGCAAATTGTAGAAAAAATATAAAACGCGAGAAGAATCTGAAACCCTAGAGAGAGAGAGGTAGAGGGGAGAAAGCGATGTGAAGAGACCACTCACTATACAGAGAGTGCGGGGTGGAAAGACGATAGTGTATTAGTGTGTGTGTGAGAGAGAGAGAGAGAGCTGGCGATTTTGCGTAGGCTGGCACCGAATAGGAGGCGCAACATGGTCTAGCCAATAATTTTTGTTTTGGAGGATAATCGTCTGTGCTAGACCCTAGTGCTCATAATTTCAAATGTTTCCAAGTAATTTTAGGAGTGTATATGGCTAAATTATATTTAATTGTCTTTTAGTTTTTATATATATATATATAATTATAGTTTTAAATAAATGAAAATATTAGCAACTCATATATAACATTTTAAAGTTATTTTTATATTTAAATATGAAATATTTTTACATTACGAAAGTAATTATGAATTAAATTTGATATAATTCAAACAATTATAATTCACAAGACAAAAAAAAACATCATTTCTCTAACAAATTTTTTGTATTAATTTCATAATTGATTTTAAAATAAACATTTTTCTGATAAATTAAATAGAGGAAAGCTGATCTTTAGTACAGCTAAACAGTCCAATTTTTTACCAACGCCAACGGCGTGGATATAAGCCGCCGATTGTGTGGTCGAGAGTACTTTCGGATCACAAGTCTACATATTCGCTTCAAGAGAGGCAAGTTCCTTGTTCCGAGGCATCAGTCTCGAAGTAGCCTCACCTCCCTCTTCAGGAATGGAGGTAATGCAAAAGCAGCCCTATGCATATGAAAATAGAGAATAAATATTTTATTTCTACCATAAAATGGTTAGAGGTCCGTTGTAGATCACAAAAGAATTTACAGTAAAAGGGATAAGACTTTGCAGGCCAAGATGCTAAGACATCGAGAAATAAAATGGACCATCACTCTTAACTCGATGGGGACATGGGGTTCATTTCCTTGCAAGAAACGAACTATAATAGCTTCAAGGAGTCAATGTTCATAGCAAAAGTAAACACTGGGTACCCTGCAGAAGAGTGAAAACTGAACTTGATGGAATGAGTTCTCACCTCAGAGTTGTAAAATCTAAGTTCTCTCTTATGATGGTAAGCTCCGTCTAGCTTCTCAATTGGGTTTACGGGATTCAGAAAATCAACCGGTTGTCCCTCTGTGGAGCATAACAGGAAGCCAATCACACCACTGCATTACAAAAGAAAAGGAAAACAGAAGTCTGAAGTCGGAAACGAGATAGGCGATGATTCTGAAGATGGTTCTGCAATTGGTTAATGGTAACCTATAAAATTACCACTATCAAAAGCATCATTAATATCTACAAGAGAACCAAGGGGAAACAAGAGCTTAGTTAAATACCTAGGATAAGTTGGAACACTTGTCCATGCATAATGAACACAACCCTTGAATGTTTCACGGCAAACAGAAAGCATATCTTCAATTAAATGTGTATGAAGCCACATACTCTCTGCCATGTTACAAGGGACACCACCAGGCCTTAATGCTTGTGCTATGGTCTCAAAAAAGGGTTTTTCTACAAGCTCTTGAGCAGGACCTAAATTGCAAACAAAAATACCATGAAAATATTCTTTACGAAACCATCAATGCTGTAAATAAAATTTTATCAGATCATACATTGCAACATACCTACAGGATCTGATGAATCAACAATGATCGCGTCATACTTCACTTTTGGAACATGATGAAGAAACTCAATAGCTGTTAAGATTATATGCAAGTAAAACATCAGTTTGGGAATTAAAGCATTATGATTGATCACTAAACAGAAAATTCACATAAAAAAAGGAATATATATGAAACACATAAAATATTCAATATTGCTTTCACATACCATCACCAACATGAAGATGAACCCGAGGGTCCTCAAATCCAACGGTTAATTCTGGAAAGAACTTCTTGGAAACCTATAAAAATGTCATATATGGCTACTAAATGAGCATTTTCATACAAAAGGTAAAAGGAAAAGGAAACAAGAATAGATACTAAAATACAACATACATCTATAACTATCTTATCTATTTCACATATATCAATGTGCTCAACAGAGCTGTGCCGAGAAATCTCCCTAAGGACTCCACCATCACCACCTCCAACAACCAGGACTTGCATCAAATATTTAGGTAAAAATCAACATGAAATAACCTTGTGGCTAAAATAAAATCTTTTCGGAATGAGGCTAGATAGGAAAGGTTTGATAAAATAGAGAATTTAAGACTGATCGGCCATCAAGAACTTTGAATCAACCAAACAGCTTAGGGGATACATCTCTGGATTTTGATGCCAGAAAATACAAACCAATTTCAATAGGCTTTTTGGCACAAAACTGTTAAAGTCAAGGATGCACGCACCGAATATGCATAATTTCAATGGGTTGGCACCGAATGTGCATAATTTCAATGGGTTGGTAATTGTTTATTAAAATAGAAATAGGGTTAATTACAAGATTACTAATCTGGTTATAAGGAAATTACTTGTACTCGGTTTATTTCCTAACAACTGGTATCAGAGCTTTTGGTTGTGACATCTGTCAATTTTTTGCGAGGTTACTATTCGGTTTACTATTTACGTAAATAGTGAATTTCGTGAATAGTGAAATTCGATCGGCGATACGAGTTTGTCGACAGAGGTGTTCTAATACACGGCGGTTCGCAGAAATTATCAGAAACGATCCAAACGAAGCCAGATTCGAGTGGGAGCGATGGCTGCAGACGAAGGGAAAGTGAAAATTGAAAAGTTCGAGGGTGCGGACTTTGGACTTTGGAAATTGAAGATTTTCTATACCAGAAAAATCTATATCAACCCCTCTCAGAAAAACAACTAGAGGGGATGAATAATGAAGATTGGGCTCTTCTCGATAGACAAGCCCTCAGAGTTATCCGACTGACGTTATCCCGCAATGTTGCTTTCAACATACCAAAGGAAAAGACCACGGCGGGTCTTATGGCGTCTCTCTCCAGTATGTATAAGAAGCCATCAGCCTCAAATAAAGTTCACTTGATGAGGCGATTATTCAATTTGCGGATGGCGGAAGGGGCATCAATGGCTCAACACTTAAATGAACTCAACACTATCACAACCCAGTTGAGTTCCGTGGAAATTGAATTCGATGATGAAGTTCGAGCTTTAATTCTCTTATCATCTCTACCAGACAGTTGGAATGCTACTGTTACAGCAGTCAGCAGCTCATCGGGAAATAGCAAATTAAAATTCGACGATATTCGAGATCTGGTATTGAGTGAAGAAATTCGACGAAGAGAATCGGGTGAAGCATCAACCTCCTCAGAGTCTAGAGGGAGAACTTCAGAAAGAAATTCAAATCGTGGCATATCAAAATCCAGAAGGGAAAATCAATAACGGGAAAGAAAGATTTTACCTGTTATAACTGCGGCAAGAAGGGTCACTTTAAAAGAGATTGCCGAGCACTGAAGAAAAATACCGGCACACAGGATTCTGTCAACGTGACAGAGGAGACAGGTGATGCCATGATTCTAAGAGTCAACAGTCCGATTGAATCCTGGATCTTGGATTCAGGGGCATCTTTCCACTCCACCCTATGTCGAGAAATCATGGAAAACTATGTCAGTGGTGATTTTGGGAAGGTTCATCTAGCCGATGATGAAACCTTGAAGATCGTCGGAAAAGGAGACATCTAATTAAAGTTGCCAAACCAGACCACCTGGACGCTGAAAGGAGTTAGACATATTCCTGGCCTCAAAATAAATTTGATTTCTGTAGGACAGCTTGATGGTGAATGATTTAGCACAACCTTTTCAGGTTGTGAATAGAAGATTACTAAAGGAGCACTCGTCATTGCTTGTGGTAAGAAAACTGGTACTCTCTATATAACCTCAAATTTAGAGAATATCATTGTAGTAGCAGATGCTGATGGAAAATCAAACATATGGCACCAAAGGCTTGACCATATGAGCGAGAAAGGGATGAAGACACTTTTGTCAAAGGGGAAGTTGCCGGATCTAAAGAATGTAGATGTCGGACTATGCAAGGATTGCATCTTTGGCAAACAAAAGAAAGTCAGCTTTGCAAAGATTGGTAAGACACCCAAGGCTGAAAAGTTAGAGTTGGTTCATACTGATGTATGAGGACCATCTCCAGTTCCATCTCTAACAAGTTCACTATATTATGTCACCTTCATCGATGATTCTACAAGGAAGGTGTGGGTTTATTTTTTGAAGAAGAAATCAGAAGTCTTTGATACCTTCAAAAATGGAAGGCCATGGTGGAAAATGAGACTGGTCTGAAAGTCAAGCTGTTGAGGTCTGACAATGGAGGAGAGTACAGAAATAGGAGATTCAAAGACTTCTGCGCAAACAATGGGATCAAGATGGAGACAACATTTTCCATGACACCGCAGCAGAATGGCGTAGCAGAGCGCATGAACAGAACTCTGAATGAACGTGCCAGAAGTATGAGGATACATGCCGGATTGCCCAAATATCTATGGGCTGAAGCTATCAACACTGCAACTTACCTGATCAACCGTGGGCCCTCAGTTCCTTTGGATGGCAGAATACCAGAGGAAGTTTGGAGCAAGAAAGAAATAAACCTTTCACACTTAAGAGTGTTTGGTTGTATTTCTTATGTACACATAGACTCTGTTGAAAGAAGTAAACTTGATGCTAAGTCCAAAAAATGTGCCTTTGTTGGTTACGGCGGTGATGAGTTTGGTTACCGGTTTTGGGACTATGAAAATCGGAAGATCATCAGAAGCAGAGATTTCATTTTCAATGAGAATGTGATGACAAAGACAAGTTAATTGTAGAATCAAGCAGCTCCAATACCAAAGCTAAAACAAATGAATTTGCTGAGTTCGAGGAGATTTCTAGAAATGATGTTCAGATTAGTCCTGAAGCAGTTCAAGAAGAACCAGGCACACCGGAACTAAGACGCTCCTCCAGAATTCCTAAACCAACCCAACGGTATTCTCCTTCTTTGCACTACTTGTTGCTGACTGACAATGGTGAACCAGAGTGCTATGATGAAGCAATGCAAGTGGAGGATTCAGTCAAGTGGGAGTCTTCCATGAAAGATGAGATGAACTCGCTTATGTCAAATCAGATGTGGGAATTAGTTGAATTACCACCAGGCAAGAAAGCGCTTCACAACAAGTGGATTTACAGGATCAAAGAAGAACACGATGGGAGCAAACGTTACAAAGCGAGATTGGTTGTCAAAGGTTTTCAGCAAAAAGAAAGTATTGACTACAATGAAATTTTCTCTCCAGTCGTGAAACTGTCTACTATCAGACTGGTGTTGAAAATTGTAGCTGCAGAAAATCTACATCTTGAGCAGTTAGATGTAAAGACAGCTTTCCTTCATGGTGATTTGGAGGAAGAAATCTATATGAGGCAGCCAGAAGGCTTCATAGAGGCATGCAAGAAAAATCTGGTATGCAGGTTAAAGAAGAGCTTTTATGGTCTAAAACAAGCTCCTAGACAGTGGTACAAAAAGTTCGATAGTTTCATGGGTAACAGTGGTTTTACCAGATGTCAAGCAGATCATTGTTGCTACATCAAGAGGTTCGATAATAGCTTCAATATTTTATTGTTGTACGTTGATGACATGCTCATTGCAGGCTCAAACATGCAAGAGATCATAAACTTGAAGATATGGGCGTTGCAAAGCAGATTCTTGGGATGAGGATAAAGAGAGACACAAAGTCGGGGACTTTGTTGTTATCACAGGCTGAGTACATCAACAAAGTACTCTCCAGGTTCAACATGCAAGATGCTAAACCAGTAAGTACACCTTTAGGTGTTCATTTCAGACTCTCCAAAGACCAATCACCAAAGACGGAGGAAGAACGTGCACACATGGTGAAGGTATCGTATGCCTCAGCAATTGGAAGTCTGATGTATGCCATGGTTTGTACCAGACCAGATATTGCTCATGCAGTGGGAGTTGTTAGTAGGTACATGAATAATCCGGGCAAGGTACACTGGGAAGCAGTCAAATGGATCCTCAGATATCTGCAGGGTACCACAAACAAAGCACTTTGTTTCAAAGGTGGAGATACGACACTGACAGGCTATGTAGATGCTGCTTAGCCGGAAATGTCGACATCAGAAGAAGCACTACAGGGTATGTCTATACTCTAGGATGAACTACAGTGAGTTGGGTTTCTCAACTACAGAAGATAGTTGCTCTCTCCACAACTGAAGTAGAATATGTCGCTGTTACGGAAGCCAGCAAGGAGATGGTTTGGCTCCAAAGTTTCTTGGAAGAGTTAGGCAAGAAACAAGAAAACAATATCTTGTATTGCGACAGTCAAAGTGCTATCCATCTAGCGAAGAATCCGTCTTTTCATTCCATGACAAAGCATATACAATTGAGATATCATTTTATACGGTCTCTTCTGGAAGATGGGATTTTGAAACTTGAAAAGATTAGTGGAGCTCAAAATCCGACAGACATGTTAACAAAGACGGTGACTATAGACAAACTGAAGTTGTGTTCAGCTTCAGTTGGCATGCTAGAGTAACAAGACTAGAAAAGCTGTTGCATTGATCGAGGAGTGAAGACAGATTAAAATCAGTCTTCAAGTGAGAGATTATTAAAGTCAAGGATGCATGCACCAAATATGCATAATTTCAATGGGTTGGCACCGAATGTGCATAATTTCAATGGGCTGGCAATTATTTATTAAAATAGAAATAGGGTTAATTACAAGATTAGTCCATAAGCTTCAACTATAAATACCCTAGCTCATTTAGCTTCAAAATCATCCCAAAACATTTCTTTCTTTATATACTAGAGAGCTTTCTTGTGAGTAGTAAGTGTTTTGTAAACACCTGTAAATTTTCTCTCTTAGTAAAAGATCTGCAGCAGCCCGGAGACGTAAGCACAATTGGTTGAACTCCGTTATCAATTTTCGGGTATTATTTTTCCGCTTTTATTTCGCATTCTCACTAATCTGGTTATAAGAAAATTACTTGTACTCGGTTTATTTCCTAACAAAAACTTCATCAAGATTATCTCATTATGCAATCTTAGGAATAAATAAATAAATTCAAATGTCAACTAAGAATTTGAACAAAAGAAAGTAGGATAAGTTCATCAATAGATGAATATATTACAAAGATAAGATGAGATTACAGTTTTGAGAGATGGAATTGAACAAAGTGGCAGATGAGCTATCATCTCCTGATATGCACATTCATCTTTCTCGGTTAACTGAATTATTCCATCAAGAACAAGCACTTTCCCGTATGTTGATGACTGCAGGGAAAAATTATTTTCATCAGCAAGATTATGCATAATGAATGTAAGAAAAGAGGCAAGCCAAGTCGGGAAGAAAAAATAGATAGGAATGAACTAGAGGTAGACAGAACTGGGAATAGAAAACACAGTCTAAACGCCAAACCTCAAAAACAAGGACCTTTTGATAGTCTGATTTCTCCTTGAATAAAATGCTTTCAACTTTCAGAGAATGTGCTTCTCCTGCAGCAAAATTTTAAAGCATTGTAAATTACTAATGTGGTGCAATGTGTAAGAGGTATTCACTAGCTCAACTCAAGGATCCTAAGCTCTAATTCCATAGAATAAGTTACTACGAAAAATTATAAAAGGAAAACTGGGACTCTAGCACAATAAGAAGGTAAAGAATAAAGATACTTCAAAGAATTTAAAACATATATAAATTACAAAATAAATAAAAACTCACCAGGCCACATAGGATTGTTGAAGTAGACAATTTTACCAGCTTTATCTGCGAGTGATGAAAAAGGAAAAATAAAGATCAAACTGAGTAATTCTTGTAAAAGAACGAAAAAGAAAGGGAAAAAGCTAATTCAAAGATAAAGACCAGAGGAAGACTGAGAGTCCGAGAACCACCCAGAAACAACAGTTGAATGGCATTTTGCCTCAAGCTCAGGGGCTGAAGCCCTGGCCTTCAAGCAACAAGAAGGGAGAACTTTATCTGAGCCATTTCCGCTATTCACCTTCTCATCCATAATCTTATGGCATTCCAAATCTCTTCCTGCGTCTTCCCCCATAGATTATCTTTTTCTTCTTCGGCTCCAGCCTCTACAAGTCAAAAAAATTATAAGCTCCCTTCTTAAAGAAGGAGAAGAGAAAAAACACATGCAGGCACATAAAGTTTAAAATATTTTTAGCAGAATCGTTCAAAAAATATATGCATGATATAAAGAAGTAAAGATGTTTCTTTTAGAAATAAAAATAGTAATTTTAATAATATCCCCTACGAAAAAAATAGCATCTGATTCTTTGTTCTTCAATCACTAATTTGATACATTCCTCAACGTTGTTAAAATATAATCTAATCACCTAAAGTAATACAAGAAGATTATGCTATCATACAATAATAATAAAAACCTGACCCGATCGGAATCCGTCGGGTTTGGATCCCATGTCCATCCCTACATGACCGTCATTGCTTCCATCAGTGAGAAAGCCATGTGACGCCGAAAAAAAAAACACAACCGTCCCTCGTTGAGTAGCGCCATCCTATATGTTATTGGTTGTATTTTCTGGAATCAAATGGGGGAAAGAACAATGGTCTATATATAGTATTATAGTTTGAAATTAATTATTTCAAACTTATTTGAAAAAACATTTATCTTAATGTTGTTTAACTGTATTTAAAATTTTATGGAGGTTTAATTAATTTATCATGTAATGATTTTTAATAATTTACTTAGTTTAGTGTCATTTTTCATATCATTTTATTGGATTTGAATATAATTATTGTTAAATTTTTGAAATTTTAATTAGATTATGAGTAGATTAATAAATTAATTAAACAAACGTCAATCGAAAAATAATATTATGAAAAATAATTAAACTCCTCTCTGTTTTAGATTCTCAAGTTTATCAAAAATTCTTATAAAATCCTGATTTTGTTAATATTTTTAACTAACCTTCAAAAAAATTTTTTTTTTATTAAATCTCCTAAAATCTTAATTTTTATTTTTAACTGATACAGGGATAGATCAAAGGGTGTTGGCTGCGTCGAAATCCATCTCCCTTTCTCACCACAATCCCTAAACTAATTCCTTCTGCCTGTGAACCACGGAAACGACCGCGGTTCCTTCTTCAGGAATCTCTATCAACTGTCTCCATTCTTCCACCAATTCATCGATTTCCGATCATGATCTCCACGTCCAACACGAATCTCTACAATCCAAATCTTCAGCCATGGAGGAGGATTTGCGTCTCCTCCAGCAACGAAGAGACGAAGCAACCGCTCAAGTGAATAACGACAAAAGTCCACGACTTGTCACTCGAGTGGGACTTTCTTCGGCATCAAATCGAGGTTTTTGACGTCACTTTGAGAGAGAATGAAGAAGGTTTCATTAGAAAGATCGACGAACGATCTGAAGCAAGGCTAGAACTCGAGAAAAAGCTTGAAGTTTCTAGAAGGCAAATGGAAGAGTTTGAATAAGTTAAAAGGGAACAATGAGCAGAAGACGGTGTCATTGTTACATATTACAGAGCGAGGGTAGGGCTGTAAACGAGTCGAGTTCTGAAATGAAGCTATACTCGAAAATTTATAAACTTAAAATTTTTAAGTTCAACTCGAACTTAAAATTATGAATTGAAACTTCTAAAAACTCGAAAAGAAAAGAAAACATTAATTCTATTAAAGCTTCAAAATAAAACTCCGACACGAAACTTCAATACATGAAAACCTTATATTGTATCTTTCTTTAAAAAAATAAAACATAAACGTTAATATTAATAATTCTATTAATATTTTCGAGCTGCTTACAAGTTTTTTGAGTTGAATATTAATTAGCTCATTTTGACTCGTTAATAATTAGAATCGAACTCAAGTCAAATATTTATCAAGTTTTGATCAAATTGATCTCGAATAGCTCAAATCTATATTGTTTCATTTACAACTCAAACGAGGGTTACATAGAGTCGGGTTCGGGTTCTTAATGGGAATGATTATTTAGTAATTGAGAAATATATTCGATTCTCCTAATCAATTATTACTTGCATCAGAATTACATGATATCTAATTAATTCACATCAAACTAACTTTGCTAAGCTGATAAACTACTTGCATCTCTGTTTCAAGTCTAAAGTTCAACCCTTTTCCCAATACTTTAAAAATATAATGATCAATTTCTTATAAATATCTCAGTTTTAAATTAGGGTTAAGGTTTAGAAACCCTAGTTGAGTCAGATCAGGTTTGTCATTTAGGCCATCTTAGTTGGGTTCCCCTTTCTGTTCCCCTAGGGAGTTGTTGTCGTCGCATCACAGCCACTGTTCCAACCACGTAGTCCCGTCATCCGCCAGCCCCCATTTCAACCACTCAACATCATCATCTCGTACAAACAGTGAGGAAAATTAGTCAAAAATAAACCAAATCCAAAATCCTTCAATAAAAAATTAAAATAATCCCGTAAAACCGGGAATGATGTAGGGAAATCATTTTCCCTATCAACCGGCCACCATAGCTTCACCAAAACCGAATCAAAAATGCATATAAACCAACATGCAAGTAGAGAGTGGTCATTCGAACAAAAAGGGGATTCGGGGGAAAAAGAGAGGAATAGTGAAAAAAAAGAAAAAATAGAGGAGAAAAACAAAAGAGAGAGAGAGAGAAAGAGATTTTACCTCTCAAATTCGAGCGCCATCGGGTCACCGAAGTCAACGAGATCTTGTGAACTTAAAAGGTAGGTTTTTTTAAAATTTTTGGGAGTCATTTCTTGAGAGTTTACGTAAGCTTAGGTTAGATTTGACTGGTTGTTGGTTACAAGGTGCAAAGAGGGAGTCTAGGGGAACTCACCGGACCATTGTCAACCCTCCACTGCGGCAGTTTGGGAGGCTACTGGAGGGGAGGCTTATCTCCCCTCTCGGTTAAAAGAAATAAAATGAGATAGAGTTTGGGGAAGAGGGCTATGTAAGGTATGGCTCATAAATATACCGGTAAAGAGGACAGGGGATGGAGCGGAGTGAGCGAATCGAACATTAACTATCCTTACAAAGAAAGTCTTGTAGAGGGGGTTACGATTATGTGGGTTGCGGGTGCGGGGGCTGTGCCCTTGCGGTACGGTACAGGGTTGATTTTGTAATTATGTACCAGGGTTTTCTATTATAAATAGAGATGTAACCTAAACCTATTATCATTGAATAAAAATTTTCTAGCGCCGCCTAGGCACCGAGGACGTAAGCACACTGCCGAACCTCGTTAAAATTCTTGTGTTCTTTCGTTTACTTTGCCCGATTTATCAACAATTGGTATCAGATATCATGAGCAAAATTCGAAGTTGTGAAATTCGATGGTCTGGGTAACTTCGGATTATGGCAAACGAGGGTGAAGGATCTGTTGGCGCAGCAGGGGATCCTGAAGGCTTTGCGACCTATAAAGCTGGTGTCGATGGAGGAGGAAGATTGGGAAGAATTGCAACAATGAGCGGCATGAACCATACGATTATGCTTGGCGGACGAGGTTATGTATCACGTCATGCATCTATCGTCTCCAGACGAAATTTGGAGGAAGTTGGAAAGTCAGTTTATGTCCAAATCCTTAACGACAAAACTGTATCTAAAGCAGCGGCTGTATGGGCTGAAGATGCAGGACGATCATGATTTGGCGCAACACGTGAATGTCTTCAATCAAATCGTTTCTGATTTGGCTCGGCATGATGTAAAAATTGAGGATGAAGACAGAGCGATGATTTTGTTGTGTTCGTTGCCTCCCTCTTACGAACACATGGTGACTACTCTTACATATGGGAAAGAGACTATCAACGTTGAGGAGAATACTGCAGCCTTGTTGGTTCACAACCAGCGGAAGCAGAATGCAGGGGAAAACTCTCAAGCCGATAGCTTATATGTCAAGGGTAATCGAGACCGTGGACGGAAGCCAGAGAAGGCAGGGTCTGGCAAGCAGAATTCCAGATCCAAATCTAGGGATAAAAAGACAATTCACTGTTACAAGTGCAATGAGGCGGGACATATGAAGCGAGACTGTCCAAAGTTGAAAAAACAGACTGATGAGAAGCGTGATGTTTCATCCAAGTCTGTGAACGTGGTCGAGGATGACAATTCTTATTGCAGTGAGGGTGATATGCTTTCTATTTCAACGACTCAATTGACGGATGAGTGGATTCTTGATTCTGGATGTTCTTATCACATCACGCCAAATAGGGAATGGTTTTCGACATACAGGTCGGTTAATTCTGGTTTTGTTTATTTGGGTGATGATCGATGTTGCAATATTGTTGGTATTGGTGATGTCAGAATTAAGATGTATGATGGCTCTGTTCGGACGTTGAGTGGTGTTTGACATATCCCAGATTTGAAGAAGAATTTGATTTCTTTGGGCACTTTGCACAAGAATGGTTTTATCCCTAAGGCTGATGAGGATAAGGAAACCATTCGGATTTTTAAAGGTGCTTTGACTGTGATGAAAGGAAAGATGACTGCAGGAAATATTTATAGATTGTTAGGGAGTACCGTTGCAGGTGGAGTTCATTCTGTTGAATCCTGTGATGATACTACAAAAATGTGGCATATGCGTCTTGCTCATCTTAGTGAACGTGCTATAACATAATTACAAAAAAGAAATCTGTTGCATGGTGTCAAAAGCTGTAAGCTTGATTTTTTCAAGTATTGTGTTCTTGGTAAACAGACTAAAGTCCGTTTCAAGACTGCGAAGCACACAACTCAAGGGATTCTTGATTATGTGTATTCTGATGTATGGGGGCCTTCCACGACATCGTCTTTGGGTGGATCTAGGTATTATGTTACTTTTATTGATGATTTTTCACGGAAAGTTTGGGTGTATTTTGTGAAACAGAAATCTGAAGTTTTTGAGAAGTTCAAGCTGTAGAAAGGAGAGGTAAAAAACCAAACAGGACGAAAAATCAAGTGTTTGCGGTCTAACAATGGTACGGAGTAAACAGATTCACAGTTCTTACACTTCTGTAAGGAGCACGGGATTAAGAGACATTTTACAGGGCGTAAGACACCATAACAGAATGGTGTTGAGGAACGGATGAAAAGGTCGTTGAATGAAAAGGTCGTTGAATGAAAGAGCCAGATGTTTACGGTTGAATGTGGGTCTTCCCAAACACTTCTGGGCAGAGGCTGTTAACATGGCGTGTTATCTTATCAACAGATCGCCAAGGGCATCATTGGCTG